AAAGCAAGTGAAGATCTTTTCTTGAAAACATATTTCGGTCTTCATGTCACGATAGCCAATAATTCCTACTTTTTCATTTGTTGAAAACAAGCCTGGCTAACAAGCATTCTGTAATGGAAAAAAATGATCTTGCGTTCAGAAATCGATGACTAAATTCTCAGAAAAATATTCGTCAGAATCCTTCCTCTCCAAAACTAGGCAACGCATTTTTTTTAATGCCATAAATAACAATATACAGTGAATTGCACTTTATTCTAGGATATGTTCTAACAAGAAAAGTCCTCCAATCTTAAATTGATTTTTTTAAAGGGACAGACTGGTTATATTCATTCAAAAACAAATAGCGAGTTCAAATTAGCCTGTAAGTTCATATAAATGGTGTCCGCCGAAAACATCGCGGCAAAAGCATTGCGGACGAAACGTCGCGGAGAAAACAACGCAAATCGAAAACGTCGTCGTACTAAACATTGTGGGAAAAAAGAAAGCAAAGAGAAAACATCATACTACGAAATATTGTCGTCGAAAATGAAGCGGTTCAAAAACTTCGCAGTTTAAAAACATCGTCATCGAAAATATCGCGGTGAAAAATAAAGTACCAACAAATCATCGCATGACGATAACATCGTAGACATGCGTTTTTCAAGCTTTAATAATTGTAAAAGGATACACGAATGATTTGTGAGCACAAGATGGAAAGAAAGAAAAATTTTCCTTTTATATTTCATTCATAAAAAGAATACATTTACCTGATATCTATTTATTAAATGTTAAATGCGCGTGCTCCTGTATTTTTACTTTTTCTGCGTAGCTTTCTCTTAAAACTTGTCGCACGCAGCATTGCATAGGGAAATGAAACAATTTAATAACAATTCTACTAAAAATAGCAAACTAAATACAAAAACCGTAACACTGCCCCCTTCCTAAGGACTGCACGTTCCGAGCAGTACAATCCCTGGACAGGAAGCCAAATTTACAGCTAAGGAAAAAAATGCAATATTAAACATTACGTTACAATAATAACATAAACAATAATTGCAATAAGTAACTTTAAACAAATCATATACTATATATAAATCAAATCTACATTTAGAAACAGAAAGGGCCATGGTCTTATAGTATTTACAATTATATACACGACGTACTACGGCCAAAGTAAGGAGCTAACCTGTCGTAATGAGTTCGATGACTTATGCATCCGAGCCACGACGTCGTTCAGCCTGTTTAGGACTGTGTACGGACCATCCCAAGGTGACTGCAGTTTCGGACAGTCCTTTCCGTCTCTTGTTGCATGCTTGAATTGATGTCCAGTAGCTCTTGTGTCGTAGCGGGTCTTCATCTTCTCCGTCGCCAAGTTGACTCGCTCTCGTGCAAAGCTGTGCATCACTTCAAAACAGGCCTGGAGATCTTGAATGTATTCCTCAGGCGATGAAGGAGCATTCGGAGGGCGACCAAACAAGAGATCACAAGGCAGACGAAGGTCACGACCGAAAAGCATTTTGAGATAGGGAACAGCCGGTAGTCTCGTGAAGAACGTTTGGGTTTCGTCAATGCCGAGTAGCTTGCAGAGTTCTCTGATTACAGCCGAGGTAAAATTTCTTCCCTGATCGGAAGGGAACCGAAGAGGCACTCCAAACCTGGAAATCCAACGCTGTATCATCATCTCTGCTACTATGACAGCCTCCTGATCAGGAATAGGACACGCTTCAGGCCACTTGCTAAATTAATCTAATGACAACCAGGAAGTATTTGTTGCCATCAGCAGTTTGTGGCCGAGGTTCCAAGAGGTCAAAGGCAATACGTTCAAAAGGTGCTCCTACATTGTAACGTTGCAGCTTGCATCGGCTGCGTTTCTTCGGTCCTTTCCGACCTGCACAGACATCGCAAGATCGGCACCACTTTTGCACGTCATAAGCTTCCTCCCGGTTCTTAAATGCATCCTCACACTCTTTTGTCCACAAGAACGTTTGCTTGCTCTCTGTCAGCTTGTGAAGGGCGCCTTGCGATGTAAGAAAAGTCCTTCACGAATCTCCTATAGTAGGTGCAAAGCCCTAGGAAGCTTCTCAGCTAATGAACATTTTCGGGACGTTTCCATTCTTTAACGGCTGACATCTTTTCAGGATTCGTGCACACACCTTCAGCAGAGATGAAATGCCCGAGGTAAGTCACTTCTTGTCTGAATAATTTCCATTTAACGGGACCAACTTTAGATTGGCTTCTTCTAGTTTCTGAAGTACATTTCTAAGATTTTTCTACATATTCTTGAAAACTCTTTCCGACAATAATGTTGTCATCCAGGTATATCAGACAGGCATCACATGAAAGACCTTTCAAAACAGTTTCCACGAGGCGTTCGAATGTTGCCGGCGCATTAGACAGGCTAAGCGGCATCACCTTGAACTGCCAGGTCCTTGTCCCGCAGTAAATGCTGTATTTTCTCGGTCCTCAGGATGTATCTCTACTTGCCAATATCCACTCTTTAGATCAAACGTCGAAAACCACTGCCTTCCAGAAAGAGTGTCCAGAATGTCATCAATTCTAGGAAGAAGGTAGCTGTCTTTCTTCGTAACCTTGTTCAACCGGCGATAGTCAAAAGAAAATCTAGTTGAACAGTCTTTCTTTCTGACCAGGACGATGGGAGATGCCCGTGGACTTGCTAAAGGCTCGATGACTTCGCTTTTTTGCATGTCTTTTAAAAGTGTTCGTACCTCTTCCTGTTTACCAATCGGCAGACGTCTTGGGATGTTGCTGGATTGGTGGATGATCACCAGTGCCGATTCTACGTTGTGTCAAACTGGTTCGATCCACGTCAGAAGACGAGCGGGAGAAAACATCTTGAAGATCTTTAATGACACGTTTTGCAGCATTCCTATATTCATCGTTCAATTGCGCATTCTACAATAACTTTGATGTAATGCTCTCAGAAGACATGGATTCTGGAGTGTTACTGCTTCATTTAACGCTGGTCAATGGAGTACATACTGCCACCACTTCACCTTCCTTCATAATTCTCGCCTTCTCAGTTACATTGGCAACTCTCACCGGGAAAACGGTTCTCGATAGGTCCACGGACGCTGAGGCTACTAATGCTCCTTTCGGGCTGTTACATTTATTGAGATATTCTATGATGCCGTAATGGAAATTTTTATTCTCGGTTATAGATCCAGGAAGTAAAAATTCTATTATTGCTGGGATTGTGATATCGTCTTGAATTTTGTTGACAGATTTTACTCTATTATTGCTGGGATTGTGATATCGTCTTGAATTTTGTGGACAGATTTCATTTTGTGGACTACATATCATTAATCCCGGCTATGTCTATTATTAAGGCTATGTCCTCAGAGGCAGAACGGAGTTCGTCATTTTTAAAGTCCAAAGAAAAATTGTATTTTCTTAGAAAGCCCAATTCGAGTATGCAAGGGTCTGTAATCTGTGCCACATAGGCCGTGTGATGGTAGGCAGCACTTCCAAACGTCATGTTAACGTTCACTTTTCCGTCGAGGTCGATCTTCTCGCTGGATACAGTCTGACGCAAGGTGGCGTCAAGATGAGTTTGCTTTTCAATTGTTGAGCCATCTCTTTTCGAATGATGGTAACATTGGCTCCTATTTTGTTGGTTATATTATAAGGAACTCCACTGATGTGTTCCATGATGCAAAGTCCATTTACTGCCGCCTCTCACGGCAGAAATCTAAACCGGTTTAAACTGGGACTTTTCATTATCTGGCAAAATCCGCCCCTCGAGATGGTCACTAATTAGTTTCCCTGCTGCTTGCTAGGAGGAATCTCAATATCCGTGCTGTGGGGTATTCTGCAGTTTTTTCGTATGTGACCTTCAGCACTGCAGTTTCAGCATTTTACGGTCGGTTCCTTGTCAGCAATATTCCAACGCAAGGCATTTAGTTGTCTGGTTAAATCATCTAAAAGAGCAATGACTTGATCCACTGGCTTCTGGACTTGAGCATCTCTAATTGGATGGAGGTTTGATTGGAAGAGTTGCTTGTTGGGCTGCCTCGAATTTCATGGCGTACACTAGAGCGCTTTTTAAATCCTTCACGTCCGCCATTCTCAGAGCTTTCTGTATTTCGGGATTCCGGATGCCATCAATAAAGTATTGCAGAGACAGGGTTCCCGTAAAGGCGAGGTGAGACAGCCTTTCAACATCCGTGGCGAGCTCCTGGAGTGTTTCGGTGGGATTCCGTTGACGGAATTTTAATTGAAGCCTACTGTAGTCTTTCAGACATTTCTCCCCAAAGCGCAGCGCCAATGCGCCGGATAGAGCTTCAAAGTCTAATCTCTGCTTTTTGGGAAGAGTCTGCAGGATATTTGCTGCGTCAGCTCTCAAAGAAGAGGAGAAATTAAAGGTCTTAGCTTGGGAATTCCATCCACTCGCATCCGCCACTACAGAAAATTGTGTCTTATACACTTTACAGGAGATCTTCCCATCATATGTGGATAGCTTCAGAGAAGGATGAGAAGGCATGGGTAGAAATTTTAAACCTTCAGACAAAATCATAAAGATGCATCATCAGCACAGTGCTATTCAAGTCCTGCCAAATCCAAATGAAACTTCTGCAACTTACTAGAAGTTACTGGAGCTGTGTTAGAGTGTTTTACATTATCCACTGCACAACCAAGACCTTTAACTAAACGACTATTTTCTGACAAGTTGATTTATTCAAGTGGTTGTCAGGTTTTGTCAGCTTGCTTTATAAAGATGGGATCTGGAATCTGCCTAAAGGTTGACAGATGATCTCTGATGTAAATGCTGGTTACTTTTCATGCTGAATAACTTTGAATTTAGTTCAAATCATTCAAATTTAGTTCAAAAATTCTATATCCTCATGATTTGCTATTAATTTAGCCATGATTTTTCCAGTACGCAAATAAATGCACAACTCTGTTTAAATTTAAAAAATTCACTGCTAAATATTTCTGAGATATTTAAAACATGCAAATAATACAATAGTCAAACATGTTTTAACTAATAAAGTATGCCTTACCCAACACCTGGTTTGAAAGGAACGGTTATTTCTTGGTACTTGAATCTATTAAAAAAAAAGATTCACAAAATTAAATTTTTATTTATTAGCTTATTTATAAAACTGTCACAAAAGCAGAAATACATAGTACAGTGGAATCCCGCAAACTCGACTCTCGATATCTTGACATTCCATGTAACTCGAGAACTTTTTGGGAACTTTTTTAAAGATATCTCTAGACCACTCAGAGCAAATAGTACATATAATTATTATTTATGTGTATGTCTTTCTTCTTCTGTTAATAGATTTGAGTGTTCTTTTCCTCTAATTTTTGACATTTTCGCACCATTAGTTCTTGGATCTGCTTAACAAATTTCAAGATATGTTGCAATACTTAACAACGCTGTTTGCTTCTTTCGAGGATACGAAGAAAGTCAGGTAGCGGCTGGCTCCTGGCTCACATTCCTTTCTATTGTTGCAAAACTCTAGGAAACTAGTCTGAAGTTTTTATGACTGCATCTTGTTACAAACTAAACTCACACCTGTTCATTGGGGGCATCATTCCTCAGTTTACATCCATGCATATAAGTGCTACATATTTTTGGGAACTTCTGAAACTCTGTGAAGTGAAAATGTCATTCAAAAAGAAAGAAAACAAATTAACGTGACAATGGAAATAAAACTAGATGCCTTAAAGAGACTGGATAAAGGAGAAAGTAAACCAAATTACCATGAATTTAGTGTTAGGAGATTTTGACTGGGTGGAGAAAAGAAGAGATTCGAAATCGAGTCTTGGTGTGTGAAAAGAGCAGGTATGGATAGTTTAAACGAGATAAAAAGTATGAAAGGTGGTGAATACGAAGCGAGGCGCTTTATTTGTGGTTCAGGCAGCAACGGGAACACCTATTTCAGGGCCAATTTTACAAGAGAAAGTCCTACAATTTTATGACGATTTCAAGGAGAGCTTGGATTAACTGTTAGTGCTGGCTGGTTCGACAGATGGAAAAAGCCTTATGGCATCATTTGTGGGGAAAAGCCATCTGCTAACTTGGAAAATGCTGCAATATTCAAGGATAATTTTCACAAACTGATTGAAAAGGAGGGTATATCTGGATATCAAATTTATAATTGTGATGAGATCAATCAGAAGTTTCGAATCCTACCTTCGAAAAAGCTGGCATTTAGGGAAGAAAAATCGGCACCTGGCAACAAAAAAGCAAAGACCTACTACTTTTCCTACTACCTTAGTAAGTTTTAAAGTCCTATACGTGTGCTAGTTTCACAGTGCCACCACCACCCAGAGATCAATGGGCAAGAGTAGATTTTTTTAAATTCCTATATTATTTTCCTCTAGGATCATAATATTAGATTTACAGAAGTTTTTTTTTTTTTTTTTTTTTTTTTTTGCTAAAACATTATAAAAATAACATTGCACACATCAAAGCGCTAAATATTAAAAGAGTTCTGAAAAACCCACCCCTTATTCCGTAAAACTTGACTTTTCGAAAACTCGACAGTCTCTCAGTCCGCATTATGTTGAGTTTGCGGGACTCTACTGTACTGAAGCAAAAATCCATAAAAATACACTCATTCCAAGTTACTATAATTATGAGATTAACAGTCCAATGTTTATTTTGTTTAAACTCTAACAAAAAATTTATAACCGGAAATTTTGAAGATCTCGTGATGACACTGCATATTATCAAGTGGAAAATTGAAATGCAAGTATGCAAGTGATAATTTTCTGAAAGAGATTGAAAAATTATTGTACAATAGAATTAGAAAATGCACAGAATATTTCACCCTAATCAAAAACCCCTAGTGCAATGCTTTTGGTGTCAAATGCCAAAAGCCAACTTGTAACCAATATCCCTCAATTATTTATAAATAATATCTCCATTTATATGCCCAGATATTTCTATTACATTGCAGTTCATGAGGGCTGTCAGTAATCTAAACATCACTACTCTTCAACACACAAATTTCCCCATTCATGTGAACTGCGTTCCCGGGCTGGTAACAAAAGCGACTACTAGCTATCTATCACACAAACCACTCTCACCTGATGTCTGACTGCACCCAATCACTGCAGTTATGGACTTATACATTTGAAATACAGAGGAATCATGTGAAAGATTTATTGTTTTGTTTTCAGAAAATACTGCCTGCAAGAAAAGCAAAACTATGGTATAATGAAAATTTTGCATAACGAAAAATAATTGATAGTTGTAGGCATTCTGTTGGGAAACAGTCTTTTGACAGAGAGTGTTCTTGTTGTTCCTAATCCTCCTGATCTGAAAATATCACTTGTTTAGGACCATGAAATTCCAAATTGTTCAATATAGAACAAAGCACTGTCAGGATCATCAAAGGCTAATCTAAGCAATGTAATAATGAATTTCACTTAATATCACTATCCTTAAATTTATCCGTTATGAACACTATCAAACATCTGGTTTGAATAAAAGAAATGAGTTTATGCTACATCACCGCTGCTTTGAAAGATACAGAAAACTGATGCTCATCTGTACTTATTTTTATACCCAGATATCCCACATTATCTCTTTATTGATGCCTTACACAAAACACAATGCTTTTTGCTGGCTAAAACAAGATCTGCAATTCTTCGATTTTTTTTAAAGTAAAAATAGATCAATGTGTACATGGGCACCAAGTTTGTGCAGCTTTTTGACTTGTTATTTTGGTTTTGTGCACCGGCTATCTTGAAATTGTGCCTAGCTGGCCAATCGCCAATTTTCTCCAAGGCCACCCTTAAATATATTTTTACCACAACAATATCAATTATTTAGCATTTTTACTTAAAAAGTTGTAATAGAGTTGTAATAATAAATAACAAAATAAATAATTTTTACGGTAAAAATATATTTATGGGTACCCCTTGGCGAAAATTGGCGATTTTTAGTGATACATGGGTACCGAGTTAGTGCAATTCTTTGCCTTGTTATTTTGGTTTCTGTAGTGGTGATTTCTGTGCCAAACATCGCTGCTACACAAAGCCAAAATAACAAGACAGAGAATTGCACAAACTCGGTATCCATGTACACATTGACCTATTTTCACTTTAAAAAAACATTAGAGAATTGCACAAACTAGGCATTGGACACTCCCTTTGTTCATGTAAACATCAAACTATATTCATTTAAATAGTCAAAGGAAGAGACAACAAAAAATATATAATCTCAATAAACTACATTTTAAATCAAACAATGAAATAACATAAAAAAGGAAATTCATTTTTGCACTACACAAAGGAAATATCCACTTACCTTATTTACAAATTAACATGTCTTCAGTCAAACAAAATTCCTTAACAGCATCCAAAAACTTCCTAAAATTATCTGAACTAGAATCTGTATACTGGCGTCGGCACATAAATTCACAAAATAGGAGTAAAAAATATCCTTCGTAGCGACGTTTGACCATACACATTTTCGCCGTTCGATCATACGCGTTTCCGTTCTACAAAGAGGACACCTAATAATGGCTACTAAGTAAACCTTCATTTACACACCAGTCAAGTAATGCTCTTTTCCCCTTTCTTTCCAAATCGTACAGAAACTTCAAATTAATCTTACCACATTCAGCCATTTTACTGTCTAAACCACAAAACAAGCAATATACTTCCTAACCAACACACACACCACAAGCCCTTATGAATTTAACGCAATCATGCAACTGATTGTGTCATAATAGGGTTTCCAAAACATTTAACTACTCAGGCTACCATAAATGAACCAACAACTTGGCGATAAATGAAATAACTTTGCGATAATACAAGGAGTAATCTTCTCCCTACTCTAACCAATTTTTACTTAAAAAGTTCTAATAGAGTTTTAATAATAAATAATAAAGTTTTAATAATAAATAATACAAGAGAATAATCAGAATTGATGTTTACATGTAGTATTTTATATATTAGAGCACAACATTTAGGGCTTAACTCTAAAACCTAGATGTGCCAGATTAACAGGGAAAGGTGAAAAAATAAATTAGTAAAATCACATAACTGATAATTCTAATTGAATAAATTAAGTTAAATGATGAAAAAAAAACATTTAATTAATAAATTTAAAAACAATCTTGATTTACTGAAGCCCTGGCTGGTACCCACAGCTGGGATCCACTAGTTTCCAGTCGTTTTAGCCTTGACAACATTTACTATACTCTCTTAAATTACCAATTCAGATGCCTAAAAATATTCATTTAAAATCAATCATTCATTTAAAATCAATTTAAGTTATACCACATTTTGCAAATTTTAGTGATATGCCATAATCAAGAACACGTTATTTAATTATTAACTTTTAAACTTTAGCTATTTTAATATAATTACAAAGTTAATAAAATAATTTTAACAGATTAAGGAAGGACATTTTAATTTTTATCATATTTGCTTAAAATACATAAATTAAATTTGAGGAAACTGTAATCTTTTAATTCTTAATTTCTCTGTGAAAGTAGGATTATTATATTTTATTAATAAAAACTTTATACTATGGCACATTCAGACACAATTTTCAAATATTTAAACAACTAAAATATTCACAACTAACATAACTTAATACTACATCAAATCAAAAAGTTTAAAATAGAATACTTACAGAGTAGATTTGCAAAAATTCCAAGGAATGAGAGTAACAACACAATTGCCTGAAGACCATGCAAAATATGATTCATCAGGAGAAAAAGCACAACACCATGATTCCGAACCCCAAGCACTATTTTTTTTACCAGTATGTATAGGAATTAGCTCTGTAATGAGGCTGGCCGATGCTGTAATATAAAATGCACATCTAATTAAATAGTATAATTTTACTGTTTTGAAACATTCTCAGCTACACTAACTATAAAATTTTAACAAATTAAAGAAGTACATATATCGTAGTTTCCATGTTAAAGCATCAACTAAATAATACTTGCATGTTACATTATGTGCAATTATGGTTAGCCAATTTTGGCAATTAATTATGGTGGCTATTTTAATAAAAAAAAATACAAATTAAAAGTTATTACATTAGTTTCTATTCAATTCACAGTAATTTTTTTTCACATTTTGGTTACCCTTAGGAAAAAAAAAAAGGAATAACTTTACAAATATGAAAAATCACACAGACGAAAAGCCACTTGTAATGATAAAGTGGCATGTTACCATACACTTTTTTGTTCCCAGAAAAGTTATTTTTCCACTATTTTTAATTGCTCCCAACAAAAATGTTTGTTTTTAAGTTCTACAGTTTTATAATAAAATACACAAAATTAAAAAACTGCTGAATTTTTATTTCAGAAATAAGGCTATTCAAAGCCTGCTTCCGAAATATAGAAATTCTATGAAATGTACGGTGCATAACACACTAAATCTTTTTTTATGCAAATTACTTTTTCACATTTACAAAATTCGATCATTTTCATTATTACTTATATGCACAAAACTAAAAAGAAGGAGGGAATAAACAAATTTTTAGTTGCACAATTAACAACATATTCTATGTCTCAAAATCATGATCTAGAACATAAATTTATACATAATATTCTCTAATTTTTTTTTTTTTTGGAGGGGGTCAGAAATGTATGTATATATGTGCATTTATATGCATGTGTACACACATACCTACATATGTTACACGAATACATACATCCATACAGCCATGCATACATACATACATTTCTAAATCCAGTCCCGATAACAGAAGAGTACTTTCTTTTAATTAAAAACATTCTGAGACTGAATCCTTTTATACAATTGATCATAAAATAAAAACAAAAATTACAAAAGAAAAAATAATTAACATATTAAAAAAAATTAAGGAACATTGGGTTTGGTTTGGTTTATTAGATTACAGCAAAGTACTCAAGGGCTATCTGCCTTAAGGGAGGGATGCCTTCGTGGAGGACTTTTTAAAAAGGAACATTGGGAAAGAGGTGTGTGTGGATTTTTATACTTGGAAAAAGTCAATTAAGAGAAGAACATATGACGTTTAAATTTTTCAGGACTAAGTTTAAAGGAAAACTCTACTATGCTATAAACAATATGGACTTCTATGAATTAATACGAATACTTTTAAATTGCCATGAAATATTTAAATAACATAAATAAACACAAACATTTTAATGGCCTCATCTTTCACATCATAACTTTTCTAATACCTTTCTCAATAATCAGTAGTAAAGATTTATCCAAAATGAAGCATACAGTACATAATTCCAAAAAAGTAAACTTACAAATCTCATCTCTTGACGGGTTCTTGAAACTTGCCATTCACTAAACTAAACTCAACTCCTTCACGTCCTAACCTTCCGTTTATTGCTACCTAAGAATTAAAAATTATTTTATTAGAGTTATTAAAAAATTTGCACGTTAATTTATTTTCGTTCAAAGGAATTCAAAAGCGAAAGTAATGTAATCGCAAAGTGAAAGCAATAAAATCCCTCCTAAATATAATAGTCACGCAGTCGCCTCTAAATGAAATACAGACTACATAACTAAAGATATAATGTTCAATTTAGCAAATAATAACTTACTTTTACTTAACAGAGTCTATATTAAGTCTATATTAAGGATATTTTGTTATAAACCATACGCAACGCTTCTCAACTCACAATTTTTTATATTTCCGAACTTTGTATACACTGATATTACGGTATCCAAACACATTTTGTTAATGCAGCTTTTGGGTGTGTCTGACGATCTTTTCTACTATTCGTTTATTTTATCAGACAGCTATTTTCATTGGTTAAGTATTTTAAAGGTCTACTAGTCACCACCCACAGATGTACCATAAAAACAAACATGAAGGGCCGTATTATTTCAAAGCCATACTTTTATTAGTGGCAATAAAATATAACAAATTATTTTTTAAACTTACAAATATTTTGACTAATCATAAATACAGAAAATAACGCATCAATGTGTCAAAAAGAAAAAAAATCATCGAATAAAATAATATTTCTTACATAACAGAACATGTAGTGAATGTTCTATTTAAAAATTAACAATATTGATGCATAAGCATTTATTCTAGAATAATATAAATATGCTTTCTCAATCTTTGAAAAACAGTTACCTAATTGAGACACAATAACACGCCGAATAAATACTAATTTCAGAAGTCAAACAACAAAAATCAGCGTTATATTAAACTTCTGAATTAACAGTTACCTTTTTATTATTATTATTATTATTATTATTAGACCATCTAAAGCCTTAACGCCGAAGTGGTAAAAAGTGTCCGTTTGTGTTTCTTCCCCCTCTATTAGATTTGGGCCATTTATTTTTATTTTATTTTGTTCCATCTTTTCGTCCTGGCCTTTCGAACTCGTATAAAATGTACGAAGTTCCTTTTTACTCTCCTTTGAAATACGAAATTTCCCTTTCTCTATATACCTTTCTTTCGCACCTAAGCTTGATTTTTCGCTCATCAGAGCAGAAAGACTTGGGTGCAAAACAAGACATCTGTTTGTCATTAAATATGTGAATTATCATTGGAAATTACTGTGTGCCTAATGTGATCTGTCATTTATCATACTGTGTGACTTATAGCAGGTATCAGATCGTAATGACATCTTAATTTTTTTTTCTTGGTTCTATGCACGCTCTTTAATTTCACATTATAAGCAATGGATTACACTCCGATTCCGGGTGTAGTGTCTGGAGAAGATAGTGAGTGGCATCTTCATGTAAAAGACGTATATGATATTGCTTATGAAATTGCTTTCGAATTTGATAAAATCGTTAATGTCCAAGGTATCGAAGAAATAAGATCGATAATAAACAAAGTCGTAAATGTGCTGGAATTGTTAGAAGCGAGCGTTAATAAAATTGAGAGCCTAGAAAAAGAAATTGGAGAATTGAAATTAAATTCTTTGCATTTGTCGAGTGAAAAAAAAATTCACGAGCAAGAGAAATTGAGACTCAAACAAGTAAGATTATCTTACAGTTCTTTTGTTTTCAATATTCATTCATAAATCAACTTGCTTGACTCCATTGTTGAAGACTAACTTTTTAACTACGCTGTGTGTATATAATATAAAATTATGATTGCTGTTAGTTATAAAAAAGTAAGAAACTAGAAAAGGATTTTATGAGAGATATGCTGAATGTGAACAAAATTAAATCAAGTAGATATTCACTTTTTTGTTTTCATTTAAATTAGCATGAGGCGAAGAGAGTGTTTGGAAAATAATTCTTAAACTAATGAATTAAAAAAAAAAAATCTTGAAATGTATAAAAGCTTTAAATTTCAGAATTTATCACGAATATAAGAGAATTAGGTTGATCTTTACATTATGGTAACTTGGCGTTTTTTTGGCGAAAATTTGGCGACCAACTCTCCTACAGCAACCCTCTAAAGACATGTTTCTTTTCTTTTTATCTACTGAACACTTCTTCCAACAATCTACTAGCTGAATCACACTTATGCTAGAAATTTTATCTAACAAAACTGCTTAATCATGACAAATATTCACTGCAAAATAGGGAAAAAGTGCACAATACCATACTCCTTACGCGTTTTTCAAAATAACACATACACATAAACCATTGTACACGCCGACTTATTTTTACTTAAAAAAAATCCAGAATTACACAAAAATGGCATTGTGCACACTCTTCACTATATCATGTACACTGCTTTTTTCATAAACTAGAAAATTTCACAAAATGCATAAAATTTCTGAATCTTTAAACCCGGTAAAAAGAACATATATGAAATAACCTGATCGCGAAAAGTATTACCCTTTCCAAATATGAACATTTCCCCATATAAAATAAATAAAATATCCAAAAACTTTTACCCTACATTATCTATTATATTACAAACGTCACTAATAATTCACCCGCAAACATTACAAATGGTTACAAATACTTAGTGTCAAATATTTAAATTATTTCCATGCACGGTTACGCAAATTACTTATTCCACCTACATTAGAACAATGCATAAAAATAATATCCTCAAATAATTAAAAGTACTAACTTACCTATTCTTCTTCAGAATCTTGATTACGTGTCTGATAAACTTTTTATTTCTGTTTCAGGATCTTTAAAATCATACTATAGTTCACACCAAGGTACCAGGTAAAATAAAAACTTATAAAACATCTTACTTCTGTCTCGCACAACCTTAAAGAAACACTTATTACTACCCCTTTCATCCCATTAAATACCCATTTCGAATTCACTTTAGTTAGGGCCATGGGATCCAAAATTAACGAACACTGTTTCACACAACAAGAATAAAAGCCCAATACAAATTTCCAGATTTTTTCCCGATTTCCCCCCTTTCGATTTAAGAACCGTAATTCATCCATTAATATCCATGACATATCCCATGATCTCTCATTTCCCTCACACAAATAATGCGTAATCGGACTGAGTACTGCTCACATTATTACCAAAGTCCCAGGTAGTAACCTATATCGCCTCCAAAATGTCGCCAAACTACCAGTTACCATATTCTAAAGATCAGCCGAGAATTATGTTAGTTTCACAAAAAAGAAATCTCTTGTAATTTTCATATTTATTTTCTCTGGTTTTACCTCATTAAACTTTTGCAAATTTATAATTCTAGAATCCATAATATTCCTATGCATATACTGTCTTTTAATACTTTTCTATCAACTGTAAACTGTGTTTTGATGTCGGCTAGTTCATTTTGGTACTATTCGGTTTCGAGGTTTTTTATAAAAAAATATAGGGTTAACCTTTGGATTATGGTAATTTGGCAATTTTTAGGCAAAAATTTGGCGACCAACCCTGCTACAGCAACCTGCTAGTTTTTGTTTGGATGCCATTTTGTTTTCACGTTTTTTTTTTTTACTCAACATTTTTTTCCAACAATCTGTTAGCCGAATTACGCTTTATTTCAAATTTATTCAAATAATAGAAAAATACTCTTTTTAAAAACGTGTTTCATTTGTCCTTTATTTTTCATCTGATAAGCTAATCTGTATGTTAGAGGTTATATGATTATAGCATCTCATGCATTGGTGCCATCAGTTGCCCAGAAGTTTTAGGTATTTATGTATTAGTGCACCCAGTTTGATGAAGTTGGGCAATTTTTTAAAGATGAAAAAGAAGGATGTCTGTTAATTGCAAAAAATTACTCATTCCGTACATGCATATTTTGCAGTTTAATGGGATGTTCATAGCAGTTAATAAATCTTCTTACAAGAGGGTTTTTGTTTCTTCTGTTCTGACAGACATTCCGTGGTGATCGCTTTAAGAATAAATTCAAAGCAGTTGTTACCTTTATCCATTTTCCGGCAGAATTTTGTATACCTGCCAAAATTTTATTGCAATTTGTTCCCTTGCCAACAAATTTCACTAGTGCATATTTTAAAATATTATTTTAAATATTTATAGAAACTGCTGGAACTTGGAATACAACAAAAAGAATTCAAAAAGGTTGATGGTGCTTGCTAAAAATGCAAAGTTCTTATACAGGTGGTTGCCAGAAGGTTCTTGCACTAGTCCATAGATTGTCTAAAATAAATAAGTACTAAATTTTATGCTTTGATATTTATCAGTGTGCAGTAAAAAAAATACCTTCATAACGGAATCTTTTCATATTGTAAGTAAAGAAAAAAAAAATCCCCCCCCTTTTTTTAATAATACAGAAATAATATAGATGATTTAAATTTGTGAGTCTAGTATATTCTCAATAAATTATAAAGAAATAAATTAAATATTTAATTTTGTTTAAAATGTGAAAATATTCAGCTATAAACTGGTACATATAATATTAAAGGAATTGGTATTGTCTGCTTAACCACAATCCTTATTTCAATATTCGACAGAATTGCTGTGTTTTTGGCAACATTTGGGATAAACACATAACAATAGTCAACTTATGCATACATATGTTAAGGCCATAGTTAAACAGAAGCCATTGACTATTTTGAATGCCATAGCTAAACAGAATCTGTAGGCTGTTTTTCTTGGCAGTACGACTAGTCGGAAACAGATTTATGTACCTTTTAAAATCTCTCTTCTCCAGTAAAACAACCACTTTTGTGGACACGGTGCGCAATGAACTGGAAGTTGATCTTTCAGCACTATCCTTATCTTCAGGGCAGATGTTTTTATTTCATTAGGCTTATAATTCCTTACTAAATGTAGTATTTCATCTCGTTACTCCCATCTTTGATATGATTTAAATCAAATTCCTCGTCATTATAAATATCACGAATACACATCAAATAGCTTCCGGTTGCAATTTTCTAATTTCGATTATAAGTAATGTATGCTTCACGCAAGCGCGCGTTGAAAAAAATGTTTAATAAAGTAAACAAATAAATATAAAGCCTTTTTTTTTGTTTTGTAAATTTTGATACCCTTTAGATCATAAGTCTCTTTTCAAAATTACTGTTTCAATTTTATTTTTATAATTTCTGCATGCCATCTTACCATTTAATTATGATCTATAATCCAGAAACACTGATAATCCTAATCGCCGAAGTCCCGACGAGTTCGGATAAGACTTTGACGGTATATAATATATATATATATATAGTTTTGGGACTGTAAACCTAAACTATTTCTGTTCATATTTTTCATATATATATATAATATGTGTGTGGTGTAATAAAAAAATCCATAGTCAAGAATACACTTAAATTCTAACTGTATGTTCTTTTCATTTTAATGGCGACGGTCTCTTATTTGAAAGTACGTGGAATTAAATCCAACAGCCCCTAGTCAAGTTGTTTTCCCACCTTTCTACACGTACAGTTATAGAATTTCTGCAGATATTTAAAGCGAACTGGAATGGCTACGTCTTTCTTGGAAGCCGCCTTTCCAGAGGCGATAAAAGGACTCGCAAAGGAATATAGGGGTCTTCTTTTTAATGTAATGATGCAGTAAACTTCATACAAAAAGTTATTAGTAATTCTTTTTTATTTACTTCGGAGATCAGATTTTTGTAATTGCTATTTCTCCTGAATAATAATAAATGGATCCTGTTTTTTTAAACTTATCGTCTGATACTTTTGAGCTGCAACTACATTTATGATTATTCACCAATCTATTTACTCCGGACAAAAGCTGGTACATCACATATATATTTTAATGCTTGCCATAATTTATAGCCAGCTACCGTATTTCATAATGCTGATGAAAGCTGCAAATCTAAAGTTTCTCAGATATCACAAGTGAAAAGCAAAATTTGTCTAAGGAGTATGAGAAGAAATGTTAAAAGAGGATAATATATCCGAAGTTTTAATTTGTGATTGCAATATTTTAATCGTTAATCAGTGGAATGACAGATATCTGTAACATAGTTTTAAATGCAGAAAATATTGCCAATCTTGGCTTCAAATCACATTTTAATTTCATGTGATGATGACTCGGAGAACATTTTTTTAATACAAAATACCTCTTTTTTAAAGAAATATTAAAAAAGAATATTTTTAATTTCTTCATGTCATCTTTGTGGATTTAAACTGATGATCTAAAATCTGGAAATTTCCAAAATCCAGAATCACCAAATTTCTGAGTGTTCCGGATCTCAAATTTTATACTGTATTACCAAAATGTATTAAGCCACATAAGTAAGAAATAGTATAGATATGCCAAGAGGTCATATCCTTGAAGTAGAGTTCTTAAAGATTGAACAATGACCTTTTTATTTTAACAGGAGGTTAAAAAAATGAGATTTTTTTTTTTAAAAAATGATTTAGAAAAGAACTAAATATTTACGATTTTTTGAGATTGAAGAATTTTCTTCCTCATGATGAGATGAGTTTTTTTAATAGTTTTGCCAATAATACAGGACAAGAAACTCTTGCTATTTGCAACCTCTCTTAAATAATTCAGTTAAATGTATGGAAATTGAAAAACTAAAAAGTCAACTTTACTAAGGAGAATGACAGGATTTAACATGAAGGGAAGACAAATTCAGTAATACCTTATAATCCTGAAATTATATTAATTATGTGTGAATAGAATATCAAGATATGAAAGAAAATTAGATATCTTGAATTCAGAAATGCACTTAATAATAATATTTATGGAATTCATTACTGAGAACATTAGTTAATTTTTTATTACTGTCAACTAAAAGCATCGTATCATTATCATTAATATAGTAGACTCCATCTAGAAATTTTAATAACTTGAATTGCTACCCAAATGGTATAGTGGTTAGGGGAGCCTACTCCGGTACCGAAAGGCACGGGTTTGAATTTAGGAAAAGGCATGGATGTTTGCAACTGTATGATGTCTTTGTGGCATGAAGGCACTCTAAATATATGGGGAGCCGAAAGTACTCTCATGTGGTTTGGTGGTAAGGGTGAGGGGTGGGAGATCCTCGAACCCAGTGCAGGATTTATGTATAAGCTATAGCTTAGGGCCCTCGCTTTCTTGGGGGCCCCCAAGAAATCCTCTAGATATCCAAAAATCATATTTGGCACCGGCACATAATATCTGGATGTATAAAGGGTACCTTATCTCAGGTATCTTAGGGCCTTATCAGGTCTAAATCCGGCCCTGCTCGGCCTTCCTCCTCCGTCAAAATTGGGGTGAAGTAAATCCGGCTCTAACAACCATTCTTCCCCTAAATGCTCGGCCTTCCTCCTCCGGTTCTCTCGCTCAAAATTGGGGTGGAAGTAGAAGTCTAACTGCTTTGAGGCTCTAACAACCATTCTTCCATGAATTACATGGGCAAGACATCAACAATAATTTGAATTCACAATATTGCCTTTAAATATTACCAGGAATAGGACAGAGAGGACTGAAAATTAAGCTGTCAGAGTTATGTTACTTAAAGTTTATTTCAGAAGTAATCTTATAACATGCATTTTTATTGTTTTATGTTTTTCAGCATTTAGGTGTTTATATTGTTGAAGGTAAAGCTTAGTTTTTCTAAAGCATTATCTAACATATTGTAACAGAAGTTGCTCTAAAAATCAAGAGCTTAATTAATTATATATAGGATACAATTTAGAATATAGCATTTGGAAATCTAAAATATACATTTGGATTTGTAATATCATCGTTGATATCGATCTGTACGCAGATTTTACCAAATGCTGTATGTATGATTAATGCGATCTCATTAATCATTGTGTAAAGAACAATGCAAAATAACGTGTCTAGTAAAAAGAACTTGTTTTCTGTCATGTACTTTTCTCATATTAGATGAACTCAAGTTACTGTCTATATTTTTTAATAAACAAAAGTTAAGATTTTTCTGTAAAGAAATAATTTATTTTATAGGCCTATGAAGAACTTGAAGATGCTTGGGTTCAAGAGTCTGCAAATCTTAAGGCTAGTATATCAAAACTTAAAACAGAAAACAAACTCATGCAGAGTTTTATTGCAAAAGGCAGAGAAGTATCAGAAACTGGTATGATTTAAAATTTTTGATAAATATGTTTTCTATTTTTTTCTGTTCGGAAATATTTATATGTATTTTTTTAGATAGAATCAATCGAGAACTTTTATTTGCAGTATTTTCTTATGAAGGACAAAATTCACTGTTTTGAAAGCATACATTTTGCATAAATATTAAAATTATTATACAGTTAATTAATTTTAAAATAAGTTTAAATATTTACTTTTAATTCAGCTGATTCATACAAGTTATTTTAGAAGACCAAGAAAATTTTATTTCCAAATTAAAATCTACTTTGAAACAAAAGGAAAATCAGTTAGAAAAAAATGCGAGTGAATTAGAAACAGTGAGTATTATTCCCACTTGAAAATCTAGTGTAAAATTAATATATTTAATTTTAAATTATTCTGTTATTGCCAGCATTTCTATGAAGATATTTCAAACCAATTAAGGTAGTGTTATTTCTACCAGATAGATTGTGTGGGCTTAAAAAAGTTTAGTGCCTTTATATAAAAATTTGGTGATACATGTTATTTATAACCTGTTTATTCATTTTATTATTTATGTATTAGATTGTTAAGATGAAAGTTCCCTTATTTAGAGGTCCCTAGAACATACTGTAAAGCTCCAAATGGAAAGACATTTTAACAATATTTCAGATGATGAAGTAATTGTTTATTAATGTTGTACAGTACAAAGTCTGAAATCCGGACGTCTATTATCTGGAATGATCTAAAATCCAGACCTCAAAACCACCACCAACGTTTTACTCCGAGCCTTTACGCATGCGTATTTGATTCCACCCCCCCTTCTGTGCATAATAAAACATCTGGACAGTCCCGATTTTTAATTTCACGTCAATACTAAATAAAATACCTTGTTATTGAAGAAACAAACATTTTAGCATAAATCAGTAATTTGGCTCCGTTGCGGCATATCTGCTTTTTGGCACATATCTCAAACCGGAACATTCCACATAGATACATTGTTGATCTGATGCCAGCCTGGTGAATCATTATTTATTATACTTTCCTTTTGTCACTCCATGTTTATCAAAACATGACAACTTGAGTAATGACTTATATTGCGATACCTAAACAATTTTTTTTTTTTTTTTTTTTATGTTAGTAATTGAATAATAAAGGAGCATGGTAACCTTTTAATGTTGACAATACGCTTGGTGAGGATTACAGATTTACGTTAAATGCACTAAAACATGATGAGGAGAAAAAATTTACTAAAATTTTCTTTCCATATGCTAAAAATAGATTTTGTTGTTGTTACTCATAGACCCGAAGATTACATTTATGGCTATTTGAATTAAAAATAACTGATTTGTTATTCGCATAAACTCAGAACCAGGGCTGGTATGGCTGCACAGAGTCGCATAATTTAGGACCCATAGAGACTGCATCGGGTGGTAAGATATCTAGTGCCGGCCCTCAATAGGGCTTAAGTATATGTGGGAATTTACTTATTCAGAACTCTGATAAGCCTTAAGCATGTGCAAGAAATAGACATAAGTGTAATAAATAACTAAACTAATACAATTCAGACTTAATTGTCTCAGTACTTGCCATAGAAGCAAGATAAAATTTAACGGAACAACTTGCCAAATATGTTAGTGAAGGATAGTTAAATTTGATGATGATGATAGCCGCTAATTTTAAAAGGTTTTCGGATATCGCAAAACAAAGGTGAAATTTTACAATTAATGGATTCTGTAAAGAAATGTGGAGAAGGGGTAATAAATGAAGATGATATAAAAGAAGGATTTTCATTGTGATGACGACGCTTCTCAATCATCAATCAATTAATGAATGGCGAAATCTGTACTATGGTTCTAGATCCAGATAAAACCGCTACCGATAGTTAAGAAAGTGACAGAGAAGTTACTGAAAACGAGAAAATTTCGATTGACAAGTTAGTCAGAATTCTTGAAATAGTAATTACAGGACTTCCAACAATGTAACTGAATAAATCTACAGAATTAAAAAAAAAAGGTATTAGCAGTAAAAAAAAAAAAAAAAAAAAAAAAAACGGAACAACTTAAACAACTTACATTGAAAGAAATGTTTAATAAGGTAAACAAATAAATATTAAGCTTTCTTTTTGTAAATTTTGATTTGATCATAAATACTTCGTTATTTCATAAATCAGGATTTCATATTTTTAATTTTATAATTTCTTCATGACATCTTACTAGATTTAAACTGATGATCTAATATCCGGAATCGCTGAAGTCCTGATGAGTCCGGATTTCGGACTTTGTAGTGTGTATGGTACAGATTGCTTGTACATATTGAGAAAAAAGTAACATTTATAGGAATACAAATCAGCAGCATTGCAAATACAGTCAAAAGTTGTTAATTCGGACACCCATAATCTGGAATTATCTATAATCCAGACCTCGAAGCTACAAACGTTCTGCGCATGCGTCGGATTGACGCATGCGCATAGGCGTTTACACGTGCGTGTAAGACCTTTACGGCTGCGAATATGGTGTGCGCATGCGCATAATACATTTACGCATGCGCGTTTAATGTATAACGGATGGTATAAGCTGTTGGAAAATATAGCTTATTTTTAAACCTTTTACTGCATCATCTCTCCTCCTTGAAATGTTTATTTAGTTTAGTCCATTTAATTATTTATTATTCTATTCTTTTCTCGCTGCACGTTCAGAGAACGACTGACCTAATTGATAAAGAAAATGACCGAAGCGGTGTGCGAGTGATGGTCGTGAACCGTATTCCTAACTAAATATTCTTCCCCTTGCATCCATTTCAACGGAGCTGTGACGGCAAACGTGTAGGACGTACTGAAGTTACTCTCCTGATTCTCGCAGATCTGTCCCAGTCCAGTAGGCGGACAGAGATTGCACTTTACTTTTTTCTTACCTTCGGGTAGTTAAAATGTCCTTTTTTAGGACAGTCGGCGATACTGATGAAGACATTACGGAACCGGACCAACGGACTTATGATTTTAAGGATACGGAATTCTCAGAAAAACCTTCAAATAGCAAACAGAAACTTCCTTTAAAGTTGAATGACTTTTTGAGCCCGCCTGAGACGAAAAAGAATAAGAAAAAGAAAACTTCGCATGAGGGGAAAAATGATGAACCATCACAGGAGAGAAGCATGATACAAAATACGGAAAACGTTAAACCCACTGAATCAGCAATGTATAAAATCGATATACATGACCGAGAAAGGGAAAGACAAATCTCAGCACTAATAAAAGAACACGGAGTTAGCAATCTTCTGGAAATTCTTAAGCACGGGAAAACTCCCGAAACCCTGACGGATGAATGGATCTCTCCCAAGAAAACTGCGAAGATTCCGAAAGAAACTACGTCTATGGAAATCATCACCGAAAATAGATTTAAAGACTTAGAAGAAAAAGAAGATAATGAAAATAACATGGAGACCACCAGTGAAACGGAAATTCCACCACCAATTGTATTTACACAAAAAGAAGTAAATTGGATGGAGATAAGGAGAGCTACTTTTAACGGTATGCTCGGATGAATTCGAAGCAGAAACGAAAATGCAATCTATTTATGTGAAAGTCAAAACTCCCAACGAATATAGAGCTGCCACACGCTTACTACATGCCAGGAATATACCCTTTCACACATATAGACTCGAAAGTGAAAAACCATTGAAAGTGATATTAAAAAATCTACCGGCCAGCATGCAAGAAGAACTGATCAAAGACGATCTTGAAAGACGTAAATTCCCAGTCTTGAAGGTGAAACAATTCACACGCAGCCCAAAATTTAATCTCGAAAAATTACCTATTTTCCTAATAGAATTGAAGAAAAGCAAAGCAGGATATGCCATTTATCATCTTGACAATATGTTCAATATGAACATAAAAATTGAAAAATATCAACCAAAGAAAAGAATTATTCAATGCTTTCGCTGCCAGGAATACGGACATTCCCAACATTTATGCACGAAACCGGAACGATGCTGTAAGTGCGGAGCACACACCATCGAAGCAAACTATGCCCATTAAAACCGGAAGAAAAGCCAACATGTATTTTCTGCTCGAAGCAACATGTATCCTCATATCGTGGATGTGAGGTTTATCAGAAAAAATTCGAAAAGAAAAAACCTGTACCAAGTGCACCAAAATTTAGAACATAACAACGAAGATTTTCCTCCTCTCCCGACAAGAACTGATAATGGAAACACTCAAAACGCCGAATCCAGTCGTAATAGAAGTAGAAACATCCAACCTCCGCCTGAAGATCTTAATGAAGCAATAGAATGGATCAAAGACCCCAAAATCAATAACTTATTAAGTAACATCATCAATCATATAAGAAAAATAAGAACAGCGAAGAACTCCGCTGAAAAATTTATGCTAGGATTTCAAGCAGTCATGTCGATAATTAAGTTCGCCGAGGATTCTGATTAACTTCAAGTATCACAGTTGAAAATATTATCTGAAAAATTCTATTCATTAAGGCCATGAACCTCTCTTTTAACCTTAGGCTTCTTTCAAGCATCCATCCATCCATTTTGCTATGGCCGGTGCAGCTAGTGAATGCCGCTTACCGGCTCCTGATGTGGGGCACCTGAATCGTAGTTCTGACAGTTAGGTGGTGGTGACTAAAGGTCAGGAGAAAAGGGGGTGACCCTGCGTCACAGAATGGGAACCAGACTTATTGGAAAACGCGGTGGTGGGAAAGCATTCTCTTTTCCTAATGATTCCCTAATAATATAGAAGATTGAGGAGAAATACGTAATATATAAAATTTGCATAAATTGATAAATTTGTGAATATATAAAGATACTTGCGTAAGGTAATTCTGGAGTAGTTAAGATAGAACATGCATAAGGTATAAAGTTCCTGAAAATAAAGAAAATTAAGTATAATACATATGTACAAAAGAAATAAAAGTTAATACATGGCAATTAATAATAATAAGAAAGCTGGAGTAAATTCAAAATCTGGATTAATATAAAGTGAAATCAAATGTAAAATATATACAGATATATACAAGATGTTAAGTCGGAAAATTTTGATTGAATTGATGGGCCGCCCAGGGCCTCAGGTCTTTATCTTCTGGCAAGGGAGCATAGTTAAAGACTTGGAATTGGTTCATGAAGGGACAAGTAAGAGCCTTATTGAAAAATTTTTCATTTGTCTTCTGAATGAAATCTTTGATGAGGTCTATCTTTAGGTCCTTATGTAGGGTTGCATTTGAAACGTAGAAATGCGCATTTGTGATTAGCATTAGGAATTTATTCTGGATGATTTGGAGCTGTTTAATTTCTTTGTCTTTGATAGTAGCCCAAGCAGGCGACGCATAACAGAGGATGGGCCTGATGATAGCTGTATAAATATGTTTCTTG